GTGTCATGGCTTGGGCTTGCATGGCTGCTTCTGGAACAGACTCACTAATCTTTATTGATGATGGAGCTCATGATGGTAGCAGCAGAATGAATTCAGAAACCTACAGAAATATTCTGTCTGCCAATTTACAGAGAAACGCATCCAATCTAATGGGGAGGAACTTCATCATGCAGCAAGACAACGACCCAAAACAAGCCTGAAAAAGCATCACAAAAGAAGAATGCAACAGTTTGGTGATGTCACTGGGTCATTGGCATGAGGCAGTTATTGCAAGCAAGAGATACACAATCAAATATTAAGTGTTATTTACTTTCATTTACTTTAAGACTATCTGTTCCTATACTTTTGCTTCTCTAAAAATTGGGTGGTCTGATACAAAAGGTTCTATGTTTTATGTTGTTTAACACATCTAGATGTAAATGGAAATAAAAGCTGAAATCCTAAATTCTAGTCTCATATCCATCTTTTGATCTCAAACCCAAATGTCTTTGGTGTATAAAACAAACAAATTAATTGACCTTGTCATTGCAATAGTTTCGGAGGGGAATGTGTATATATAATGTCCAAAACAAGGCTTGAGTCCTACAGCACTGTCACTAAAGACTAAAGACATGGCCAAGAAAAAAATAGTTAAGTTTCTTAAAATTTTAAAACCCTAAATCCATGTTGCTATGTGACGTAGCACTAACAATACTCCAGCACTGTACTCACACTGAACATCCAGTTTCACAGATGAGTTCTGATCTCCGCGCTGGTTTTGAGCTCTACAGTAGTATAAGCCACTCTGTGTAGAATCAGTCATGTTGATGGTGAGATGTTTTCCGGTTCCTATCTGCTCTCCGTTCTCTCTGTACCAGGTGTAGTTCAGCACTGCTGGGTTTGCATCACTGCTGCAACTCAGAGACACTGAACTGCCCAAAAGCACTGAAGCAGATGGAGACGCTGATACTGACGTGCTTCTAGGAGCATCTAAAGGAGGAAGAACAGGAGGCTGTGGTAGAAGTGTGATAGTAAAGC